AAGGGTTTGTGCCCTGTACAGGTATCATAAAATAAAATTTAAAAATAATTTTTAAAAAAAAGGGGGGGGAGGGTACACCTGCCCACACAGAGCAGATCTCTTTTCTTAGGCTAAAGAAAAAAAAAATTATGTGCATGTCTAACAGCTCTACAGGTTTCATGCGTCTGTTGGGAAGAGTCCTGCTCTCCAACCTTCTGGAAGCTCGTGGTCCTAGTTTGGAGAGCATCCATCCTGCCCTCTGTAGCAGGGAAGGGTGGCCTGGGGTGCTGTGCAGAAAGAAGGCACCCTCTGTACCTTGTGTTAGAGGTTTGGAAGGACGGATGTAGGAAATGGAACTGGTTAATTACACTTGCTTTCTATTTTCTTTAATTGTCTATCCGTAGTGTATCTGTCCCTCATTAATGGGGATTGTGTCTAGTACTGTCTGTGAAGAGCTGTCACCATTAAACTAGTTTTAATAGTAACAAATTAATGCGCGTCTGCCCTTTTCTCGGGCTGTGTCAAGAATCACGTGTTAGCACAAACTACTTGGAGGGACCATGATTTAAATATTTTAGCAATGCAATATCTACTACTTACCTGACCGATTTCTAGTAACTTATTGGTGGTGTTGGCTTTCTAACATTGCTGCCCAATAAATGTGGCTTTTCCCTGGTTATTTAGTTTTGAGGCTCCTTGAATTGGTTCCCTTTCAGCTGAAAGGTATTCCGGTGGTGGTGGTGGTGTTCGCCAGAGCTCTAAGTAAAAATGACTTTGTTCTCTGCTATGTTAAATTGGCTGGTTAATTCTGGTGTTATTTACCCTGTAATTCATTAGTTTTACTCTACCATTGGCAGCTGACAGGCTGTAATTTCATGCCTTGCAATAAAAGATGTCTCATAATCTGCTTCATTTAGCAGCGAGAGAATTTAATGAAATTAACTGCAGTCCTAATTATGCCTGTGAATACTAAAGACTGCTATCAAGTTTCCTCAGAAAAGGACAAGGTCCACCTCATGAAGGATTTAGAATATAATTTCCTGGGAAAAGTTGCAAACGTCTCCTTCTATTGGCCAACAAGGGCCAATTACAAGTGCTGATACGACTTTAATGAACTAGTTTGTTCTGAGTATGTCTCACAAGGAATAATAATTTTTTTATTTTTGAGCAAGTTTTCAGAGGTTTCTCTCTTTTTAGAATAGCTGGTCTATGAGAATTTGTTATTTTGCTTCCGTTTCGAAGAATTTTTCCGCGTCTTTTGTGGTGCTTTATGCTGAACGTTAGCAACTGAGGAGGCAGCTCAGATGCTACGTGCTTCAGATATGGCGCAAGGATAGTAGTTTTTGGAGATCTTCATCCAGAGGACATTAGACAATTTGTTCTCATATGCCAAAATTAATTGGAAGTCCGTAGCTCAATTACCCAAACACCACAATTGAAAAGAGATAAGAAAACTGACAGAGAAACATGATGAAAGAGTGCTGACATGGCAAAAAAGGAGAAGAAGAATTGATCCTGAGGAACGTTCCTAGGGCTGTGGAAACTCTGAGGCCATTCTCTGCAGTTTTTTAAGGGGTTTCTTCTGATGCATGCTTTTTTTGGTACATATTCACGACTTTGTGTTGAAAAGGTCTTTCTCAATTTGCTGGCAGGGTTTTCTTGATTTCCATTCCAAAGTATTGGTTGATGTATTTGCCAAATGTGCGCTAACTGCTTTCTAAGCACTGCCGCACTTAGACAACATGATGTGAAATGTAACCGCCATTTTATGGCTTAAATGATGTTAAATGTAGTTAATTGGAAAAACTTTTAACTGCAGAGAATTTCCCTATGAATAGCCTTCATAATAACCATCTCACTATAAAACGCAAAATGCTTTGCTCACAAGGACAACTGTACTATAAAGGTGAAGTGTATTGATCAAATTACCTGAGATAATAAACTTCGGATGAATAACTCCTCTATTGATGAATGGGAGAAGTCTGTCTTTTTACCTAACGCTGTTAGTGTGATGGGAAGGCAATTGAGAGAACGGTATTACAGAGTGCGTGGTTGTTTCAAGCATAGTTTATATTTTTAAGTTAAATAGCTGTGTGAAATTGTTGATGGAAAATGGCATTGGATTTTTTTACTGTTTCTGCTCCTGTTTTTTTTTTTTTTAAGCTGTAATTTGTTCAAAGTACAATCATCTTCCTTCAGATAAAAAGTTATAGGACTATATAAAAGTGAGTATATATGGGGAAAGAGACTTAAAATGATTGGTATTTGCAATGACTTGTAAAACGGACTAAAGAGAGAGCGGTGAACTTCATACACTTGAAAAAGCGAGGTCAGAACACAACTGGATTTGGGTACTGGAGGTGATCGTATCAAAACAAAGAAGAGTTCAGGGCCCCAAAAGAGAGGAAGAAATGTGGTGGAAGGGAGCTTGGAAGCAAATGAGATGTTCTGGGTTTTGTTGCTTAGTTTGTGCTCATTCCTTCACTTTCTGCTGAGTAGGGATTTCATGAATTTGTTAACTGTTACAGGAAAGAAAAGCAAGATGATGGGTGTATCTGCCTTTCGTAACAACTTGACTTTTGGATTTGACCAGAGATGTCAGCTACCTAGGCAACTTCAGATACATAACTTGCAACAAACCTAATGCAGACCTTTTTTTATCTTGCAGAATACTAACAGAAAACTGCGTATTTTTATTCAATATGTGGTAATCACCTGTGGTTGCATTTATGGGGGAAGAATGCAGTGAGAGCTGAAGAGAATGGGATGGCTTTGCAAAACTCAGTAATAGAACATTTTGCAATATCCTCAGAATTGTTGGTCAAAGGGAGTAGAGACAATACAGAGTATTCAGACATGCGTGTTCTTGAAATGTGGTGATGCCATCAAGGAAGAAAGACTGGAAGTTAAACAGAATCACAAGGAGCTGGTCAACTATAGTATTAATATGACGAGCTTTGAAACTATTGCCCCAAAAGAAAGATGTGCATATTTCAGGGGAAGGTACTCGACCATAAAAGCATGACATAAGCTTTTCAACTTAATGCAGAAGGGGAGCAAGGAAGTAATATGAAATACTAAAATAATAATTGGATTTAAAATTGGTTGTGGTGAGGGAAAGTATGGAATTGATATTCATAATAGACATAGAAGCTCAGGATGGAAAGAAGGCTATAGTATCATTTGACGTTTTATCTAAAAGATAGCCAAAGTTGTCTTGGCTACTAAACGTGATTATGGTGTTTAAGAATTTTTCTTCTCAAATTTTTAAAGGCTTTATCAAAGCAGGCAGCCTTTAGTTATAGTTGAATTTGTCCATGTGATATGCTTTAAGATCATTAGACACACAATTTGAATCCAAGTTTTTAAATTAGAGAGTGAAAAAATGCTTGTCTTAAGTTTGTATAACAATAGATTTTACCTTCTTAGGAAAGTCTCCAAAGATTGCGCTGAGCACGCTGGTAGATACTGAAGGTCTCAGTCAGGTATCAGCAAGACAAGTGAGGAAGGGAACCAGATGCAGGAAAAAGTTTCAGAAAAACATTGCCACACTTAAGCATCGTAGGAGAGAAGTGAACCATTGGACTATAGCATTCAAGTCCAAAACCATAAGTATTAGTAAAATAAATCCTTTTTATTAAGATGATAATGAAGACCAAATAATAATAACCAAGACCAAAATATTAATTTTAAATACAGTCATATAATCATGTCTTTGCAGTGAATAGCTTGCATAATGTGTATTGGCTGGCCTGAATATTTTACCGTGTTGTTCTTATTTAATTTGGTGTACACGAAGTGTGAAAAAATGACCTAAAAGGCCATACATCTTGAATGAAACAAAATGTCATGTCATATAAATATACTTTACAGTAATTTGTAATAGGATGTAGTTCAAGAAACAAGACACAAAGCTGGCTTCCTTCATTCTACATACCAGATGAAATTATTCTTTGAAAAACTTCTGAGATGATGTGAAATATCATGTGAATGTGATCACCTTATCATTTCATGTATATAGATAGGTATAGACATATACACACACGTATACATATCTATGAAACCCCCGTATTAAAAAAATATATATGTAAGAAACATTATCCTGTAGGAATGGAAAAGCTGGAGCAGAGGGCAACCAGAGTGAAGCAGGGATTTGAGAATATCCGTGTATTCAAAAGGTGAGAGCGAGACAGGTCTGCAGTCTTTGGAAAGAGATTAAGAGGAGCCGCCTTTTAATGGCCAGGATTGATTCTGCGAGGCTGTTTGAGCTGGTGTCAAGCACGACGCGAGGGAGCAAGAACTTAAGCTGGAGGAGAGGCCAAGCACCACAGGAATGCAGGTGGAATCTGAATAGCTATAAAACAGACATTTTTAATATGTTACATGCAAAATTCAGTTTGGATTATTAGCAAGCGTTAGCTTGGCTAAGGGTTTTTAGAGTTCTTTCCTTAATGCAATTCATTTTTGCTGGCTACCTTCGAACTTTGGAAGAATAATGTTTAGTTGATGCCAGCGAGCTACAGCGCCAAACTTTTAGCACCCAAAATTAAAAGCTCAATTTAAAATGTGAACTAGATCAGAAGCCCACAGAGGCAGAAACTTGGCTGTGAAAAGGGGCTTTGATGTCCGTAATGTCTATTGTTTAATGTCTGGTTTTTGCTTTTAAATGCCAATGCACAGCATGGAGGCCTGGCCCTCCCATTGTGCAACAGAGGGTGCTTTGGGTGGTAGGGGGAAAAAAAAGGAGAAATCTTCCATCCTGTGAGCACGAAGTTGACAGGTACGAAGGCTTTTGGAGATCTTTTTTAAGAAATTGTGCGGTAAAGTGTGTAAATCTGAAGTAAGCGTGCTGGGCGTGCGTATGTGCAAGAGAAAGTTAGCAGTCAGTCAGGTTTTATCTCTTAATGAATAGAGACTGCTGAAGTAAGGGTTAGGTAATTGAGTTTATAATTAATTAGCCATAACCCTCATCAGATAAAGCAGTTGTCGAGATTTTTTTTTTATCTCCTTTCTCTCCCCAGGGCCTGCCCTTCTTTGTCCTTGCACTGACAGCCAGCACTTATCTTAGGCCTTCTCCAGGTCCGTGCCCATCAACCCCTCCTCCCTTGGGCTGATTTTTGGTGGTCAGCCGAGACCCTCATTGTCCTGTAAGGCTCACAATCAGCCTAGCTGTCGGGTGCCGGGATGATGAATTAGCAGTAGGAGTTAACATGTAGGTGAACTCCAGATTGGACTCCCGATAGCTCGCAGAATGGCTTCTGTGTGTTAGTCACTCTCCCCGGCGCTGATACACCACTGACACTTTGCAACAAAGAGGTTAAAAAGGTAGATTTAGTAAAAGAAATGGTGTATTTCTCCAGAAAGTTAGGATGCTTACAAAGAACCCTTAATTTCTTCTGCTGTGTGATTTGCTTCAACAATACCGAGAAAATAAATTAGATTTTTACACTGTTTCTTTTGGTGACCTTATCTCCCTTATATTGTGGGTTGAACTAGTTTGCTTGCAGTAGGGGTAGAAACTTTAGACACGTATCTTAAAAGCATCAAGATTGTGAAAGGCATCTAGTCTCTCTGCCTGTTGAGCTAGATTAAGGGAATTCGGATGTCGAATTTATCCTCTATCAAAGCACCATCCTTTTACGGATGCATTGGAGGAGAAGAGCTTTCTTGCTGTGTTTACGGTAGGCTCGTGGCATTGAGCTGTTTTTATAGACAGGTTTACCTGCTGGAGGAGAAAAATCTTCAGAAAGAAGTCTGTAGGTTTTCTCTTCATCTGGAGCTTTTGAATTAGAGATGAAGACTCCTGTGTCTCACAATATTGACTTCGGGCTTCGGATGAGCACCGTTTTTCCTTAATCTGAGTGGCAGCACTAGAAAATGTAACTAAGTCTCTTGATGCAAGAAAGGCTTGATTCTTTTTGAAAATACATAAAGCATTATTCTTCAGTGGTCTCCTTAATTTCTGAGTAGAGTGGTAAAGCTTTCCTTTTTCTTTGTCATTTCAGCAGCAATGTGCGGTTTTCGTTTGACTTCAATTCTTTTTGGACTCAAGCAGCAGAAGCTTCCCTGGGCACATGTATGCCTTTCTAGGATCTTACTGAAAGTTAAATCAGTAATATATTAGTTAACCTCCATTTAAGATGACAGTGTAAGTGCATAAAAGATATTACTGATGGCAGAACAAACCTGTTCCATTTTGGAATAATAGCTTAGCAATTGTCCTAGTGGGTCTTACAACCCTGCAGCTGCTGTGCTGTGCTGCTTGCGGTTTGCGAAGCTCTTCAGTTATGCAAGACGTGTACTTTATCCAAGCACGGGAAAGCAAATTTTTGTGTACCTCACTGCTACCTGATTGATCTAATGGAGGAGTAAAGGAAGCAATTCTGTTGACTTACGTTTTGGCATGAGTTGAGATGGGGAATTCCAGTTAGAGATGCGGAAACATATTTGGGGTTTTTTCTACCGAGTGAGCGTTCAGATATTGGAGGAGATATCTAAAGGGGCTGTGAAATTTCCATCCTTGAAGATGGCTCCAAGGGTGCTTGGAGGTGACTCCTCAAGAGTAACTGGATAAGGCCCTAAACCTGACCCACCTTGGCCTGTCTATGAGCAGAGGGCTGCACTGGATGACCTTCAGAGGTCTTTCCAACGTGTGTTATTCTGATTCTATAAATCTAGGTGGTGTTCAGATGATCTAGTGAGCAAGGTCGTTTTTTATACGTTGCTGACATTGGCACTTCTGGAACACTTGTGACATACGTGTTTGTATTTCAGTGAATTGCCCTTCCCTTAGGTCAATTAAAATAGGAAGAAAAGATTGCTGGAAGGGGTCACTTCTGAGAAGAGTGAAAATCAGTGACGGCCTGGTATAAGGTCCTCTGTTCTCAGTGGCAGAGTCCTGCTGCATGGCAGGTTCTGCTCATCTCCAATGGGAATACTGGTGCTGTTCTGAAGGGCTTCATGGAGACAACTTGCTCGTACTTTTCACTGATGCACAGGTGAGAGAAAAATACAAATGCCCAAGGAAGCCTGAACACAAAGTAGTCTCCGTACATGAGTCTTAACCCCTTCCACCCCAAAACCTATGTGTTCAATTCTTGGACTGTATGTAGTATATGGAGACAGAGTTGCCAGTGGGATGTTGGAGTACCTTGACCAGCCTCTCCAGCCTCATTTCACTAATTCTGTGATGAAAAAATGAAAACCTTTCTGCTGGTGATTGGCAATCTTTCTGCCCTCTTTTGAAGTGGCTAGGGGAGCCTCTCGTAGCATGCTGGATTTTCCTACACGCAGCTGCTAGTTGTGGGTCAGAACGACTGGTTTTGCATCTTGTGACTGGAAGTGAATCAAAGGGAGCATAAGGCCTTCTTGTCCCCCAAAGAGGCACTTAGTTGTGTTTTATATGTGAGAAAGACCGAGCATGAATACAGCAGAAGACAAGGAGATAATGATCGTCTCCATAATGTAAGAACTGTGCCAAAATTTTTTCCAAGTTGAGAATTTGTACTTCAGATGAATATCAACCTTATATTATGTTACCTCATGCAGAAGGATAACTAAGCGTGCATTCTAGGAAACAGTGGAGGGAAAAAGCTTTTGCTTTAAATTTGAGTCTGAAACATAAGATATTGGGAAATACTATTCCTGAACAATTTTTTTAAAGCAAAGCTGACAGTGTCTTCTGGAAAATGGGTATGGGTTAATAGGATGGATTCAGTCTGGATTGAACTAGTGTTTATATGGTTGGTTTTATGATAGAAGAATATTATTCTTCTTTAGCTTTCACTTGTTTTTTTTTTTATCAACAGTGTATTATAAATATCTATGTATTACATAGATTAAAAAAAGAATAAATCATATATATAGAACTAATAATGAATTACGTATTGATGTAGTTAATGTAGCTGTGGTTTCAAGTTTTTTTCTTTTGAACAGGACACATCTTCTCTAATACCTATTTTACTATAGGTAGTAGAGAAAACTGTGTGTATACTAGTTGAACTCAGTTTCAGGCTTTTTAGTTGCTGTTGGTAAAGGAAAATTACATGCTTTGTTCCTAAAGGAATGTTTAAATGAGTTTTTAACTGTCATCTTTAAATGTTCAGGTCTTCAAAAACAACTGGAGTACGTTAGAGGACATGTTAAAGAATGGCCGTGTTTTATATCAATACTGAGATTTACTTATACTAAATAGAGAAGTAGGGAGGAAAGAGATAAATAAAATTGTGTAGCCTTTCAAAACTTAGTAACATCTACAGGGAAGATCACAGGAGGGATGTTTAAAGCAGTGGACTGTAGCTGAGAGGTGCCTCACTCTTACAGACTGAGGCACCAACCATAGTGTGGTGGGTTGACCCTGGCTGGAGG